GTCATTGGGGAACTGGTTCTTTAGAACTCGATAGTAGAAAATATATCTAAAAATTCAAGAGTTCTCTAGACGTTTGGGATCTCAAAATATTAGAGATTTTAAAATTTTCTAGACGTTAGGGATCTCAAGATGTTAGAGATTTTAAAGTTCTCTATAGACGTTAATTAAGGATCTCAAGACGCTATAGAACCAAAAACATTAGATTTCTTTAGAAATATCGAGGCATTACATAAGAGATATCAGGAAGTCAAAGATCTTGAGAGAAATCAAGGCGTCAAAGACCTTGAGAGATCTCACGGCATTCAAAATCTCAACGTTCGAGATCTCAATACATTAGACACTTTTGAAGATCTTAAGATACCGCACATTCTGCATGACCCAAGACGGCGACTTATCAGAGTTTCCCTCTGACGTCCAAACATCACCGACGCATTATGACAGCAATGCATCAGCGAGGCTCGATGTATGGATGTGCTCTTCCATCAGCATCCAATTTAGGGTCTCTGCGCCATGCATCTCTCCCCAAGACAGAATTCAGACATGGTTCTCGCAACGAGCAATTATTCATCGTGTTTTCATTAATCTTCTGGAGAGAAATTCTTAGCTGGATTCAACAGGACATTGAAGTCCCGACGATGGATTGTGCGTATCATACCACAAAGATTTTAAATTTCCACAAAATGGTGAAAAATCAGAGATTGGGGAAATGAGAAGGAGATTCATTGTTGGGAGATGTGACAGATAAATCAGGTTCTTTATCCTAGCAGCCAACGGAAACGTGAATGGAATGAAGTTTTGACCTTGAACTGGATTCTAAACAATGTCTTCCATCAGTTGCGTTGAGTAGAACGTGGTATCGCATATCTGGAATTGATGTTGATGCGCGAGGTCAAGTTGAATGGAAGAGCGATAGCTTCGACAAGTGGTGAGATTACAATGAAAAGAGTTGTGAAATTATTACGCTCGGATGGTCAGTTAAGTATCATATCTAGAAATATACTTTGAATTAAATTACGATTTTACTGTAACTGGGTTTCCGGTATGAGATGATATGTGATTCAAAATCAAACACTTAAGTAGTGCTCACCAGTTGAATATTGTGGCTGATTTCTGGATGAGCTGTACATGTAATATTACGTGTTATACCTTGTTGACCGCCTACACTGGCAGTGAGACTCGTGATGTCAGATCCGGGCAACTAATTTCAATGTTGAGAAATGTTAAAAAAATTAAAATCGATCTAAAATTCCAGCCACGTAGCCAGAAATGTGGAAACGCACCAAAAAATCCTTGCCACTATATACGTAAAACGACGAAAAGGACTTTTATTTTTACGATTAAATTGCGTTATAAATTTGGCATTAATTTTCCAACACATTTGGAAGCTTGTGCAATATATAATGTTCGGATTAAATGTCTTGTTGTATTGCCGCAAATGAATTGAAATTCGTCGCGCGATTGCTAACTCATTTTTTATATCAATTTTCGCCGCTATTCTTTTATAATCTTCTTAACGTGATGATATTAAAAGAAGCTCTTAATGGACGGTCGTTTTTTAATTATTAACTTACAGCGGGATTTTTAAATTCACGAAAAAATACTGTGTCTGGCTCAGTATCATGGGCCATGGCATAATAAAGCAGCTTGATGAGAGATCAGTGAACGATATTCTTTATTTGAGATCTATATTTTTCCGAAACATTTTGTCAGCTTTATGAGAGATTAGAGAATATGTATCATTTAATGAAGTGGAAATGGGCGATATCGCAAAAATCCCTTCATTTATTTTCAAAATATTCCCTGGGGACAGAAACGGATAAAATTTAATAACATGAAAAAGTGTGCGCATTTGTATGCTCAATCGAAAGTTTTCTGTTTCTGGCACTTGAGATAATCGAGTATACCGGCATTTGGATATATGGTAAACTGATATGATTGGATATTTATTTTAGTGACCTCCTGCCATGATCCTAATTTCTTTCGTTTTTGTTGGTCGAATTGAATTTTTTGGATGACTCTAGTGTTTTTTTCAATTATGAATGTCGGTAACCATTTAATGGCATACTTAGTATTTTACATTAAAAAAATTAACTCAAAATTTTTTGAAAACTCAAGCGATGATAAAGTTAAGAAGTTAGCTGAGTTGAAATGACGACCGATTTGAAAAACAGCCTCTCATATCCCCACATGTAGGCTGAGAGCGATTTATTAGATGACTTACGCTAACTTATGGTATCGAGACTTATTGCGACTGATTAATGAAAAGTCGAAAACATTAACGCCTTGCACTTAGGCATTAATAAATTACAAATTAAGTAGAGTCTCATTGATAAAAAATATCGTGATTGATCTAGCGATTCATTTACCGAACGTTATTTTTCATTTACTTATGTGCTTAGTAAATATGTTTGCAGATAGCATCGACTAGGAAGACTGTCGGATTTAAAAAATCGTAAACGAAAAATTTTCTACGGGGTAAAATGATAAAAATTTTCACAGATAACAAATATCGAAGCAGAATCATGTCGGATTTGAAGATTAATTTCGGAAATATTTTCTACAGAGATGGTAAATATACTCACGGATGATAAATATAGACCAAGAATCATGTCGCCTTCAATGAATAATTAATGAGAGTGTTTCTACAGAGATGGGGAATTTTGCAGAGGATTAGTAAGATCGTCTGGCATATCCGTCTTCATTCAGAGTGACATTATTGCCCTAATGATCGAGGGTCTCCGGCTGGAAGTACCAGAGACTTGATTGGCTCGGGCTCAAATTATTACTCCAGGTCGTCATTTACATGCAAATTCTTACCTTATAAAGTTCCCATTAGTTTTCTGGTTAAATTACCAAGATTGATGATTTGATTGGATCCAAAATTACGCAAATATTTTTCATGAAGACAATTATTAGAAATCATAAATTAAAATTTCCATCTTTACAAAATTAGAAATCATTGATTAAATTTTCTACCCTCTCATGATGTGAGAGGGTGGATAGTTTACGTGGTATTCAAATTTAAACGAAGTAGGGGACAGTAGGACAACATCCGATGGCGACGCTTTCATGTGATTTACTGCGGTTTTCCTGTATTACACCAAATTATCTTTTTATTTATTATTACACCAAATTATCTCCGGTCAATTTAACTAAATTATATTACTAATTGCATGTAAATACTGGTTCATTAAAATTTTTGAATTGGACTAATCCTGCATTATATTAACCTCATTGCCCGCCAACTCGTCAATTGCCGTCATTTGGCAAATTTTGGCTACTTGCCTCAAGTGGACCAATCACTTAAGGTATTTTTTCGGAGTTAATCAGACTACTCAATTTGTAGATTTTATTTATCTTCAAATTCAGTATATTCTCTGCATATTAGTAGGCAAATATTAAAGTTTACCGCTGTTTGCAACAAAACACCTGAGTGACGCGGCAGTTTCTTACGAACGCGCCCCATGCAAGCGTTACAGATGTCCCTGATCATTCGTTAAACTGATGCAATGACCGAAACCTGCCAACCGAATCCTTATCCACCATTTTGATGCAAAAGAGCAGGAGCAAAGCTATTATAGTCGGAACGATCCATTTAATTATCCAGAGAATTGTACTTCGCTGAACACATTCAATAAAAATAACTATCAATTGCTTTTGTCTTATACTATCATTACCTAAACAATCATTCCGGAATATTTTTAAAGTAAGCTTATGGATTCTTGCTCAATCGTCAGTTATGAAGTGCTTTTAATTTTAAAATGATTAAGGAGCTTTTCATTTATCAGTTCCAATGATGTCAGTAAGTTTATGTCCGTTCCGATGACGACATTAGCGTTTACGACAGTGTCAAAATGCTAATACGTCAGAAATTTTGACATGCATGAATAAGTTTGTATTTGAGAAGGATGAAAAAATTATTTATGTAACAGGGGTTATCATCGTGTGTTCCATCGTTGCATAGGGTTTTTCTGTGTTACTGGAGTAAATTGAGAAACGGAATGTATGAAAAATGAATTCTACAAATATATTAATTCGGGATTTTTTTGCGGATTCTTTAACTCAATCAATCAATCAATCAAACTAAAAAATTTCTGCGCGATTTATGAGCGTTAATGTTTTTATTAATGATGGATTTTGTTATGGGCTCTTTCTTATTAGTTTCAGTCAACTCTCTACAAGTTCAGAGAATCAGTATCGCTCCTACAAAAAGAGTAAGCACTGACATGGCCCAATGCGTTTAAATAGATATTTTGATTAAACTTGGGGCCATAGTAATTTCTGATTCTGGGCAACCTGCGTATGATAGCAAAACCATTTAAACTGCACAGGTATTTCCTGACTGTGATTACTCCTGCCAGATGAACAATCATATGGAGGTCCACAGCAATTTTCTTTCTTTTCTTTCTGTTGCTGTTATATTTATGCTCCCATTACGTGGTTGTGAAGTTTATGGTCTATCTCGACAACATTTTGAATTGATTAAAATTCATGATAACGATGCTGGAGACTTCTAGTGATTTTTCGCATTTTCGCCCCTATCAAGTCTTTTTCCTGTCGGTGGAATAATTTCCGGAAGAATCTTTTATTTTCCGCGCTAAATATTCGTATATTCAGAGTTTCAAAGCGGGTATTCTTGCAGGATTAACTTCTTAACGAAGCAATTAGAGGCCAGTCTTCTAATGAAGCCATTGCAAAGTTGTGAATTAACTATCCCTCGTTGTTTTAACAATACTTCACAGAACTTGTATAGTGCCTCTTAATTAAAGCGTCTATTTGTCACAATAAGAAGAAAATTGACATAACTGGAATGTTCTTGATAATCTTATTTATGAGGAGATAAAATTTATTTTCCAAAATCATGCACTTGAATTGAGATAAATTTCTTGAGAATCAAGTGTTTTCGCAACTTAGAAAATATTGTCCAACGTTCATGCACTTGAATAGGACAAAGATTTAATATTAAAATGATATATATAAGAGATATAAGTATTACTCACGAAATTGGCAGCATAGGAAGAGCTGAGAGGAGAAGAATCCAAGCGAGTCTTGCCATTGCAAAAATTTCCGTGACAATATTTTCTAAAATGTCCACATGGATTCGTTCACAGGGTCATTTATTTACTTTTAGTTCAGAGTTCGTTATTCACGCACTTTTGAAAGTTCATGTTGCAATACAAAGCAAAAAATGTTTTATTTAGTTTATTACGAATTTTTCAGTATTTGCCTTATCTATTAATTTATTAATGTTTTTGTTTCCACTTTTTCGTGCTGAAACGATAGAAAAGCTTAGCTATTTTAAAAAAAGCTATATTAACATTTTATTTCACAATATACAGTAAGTATACAATACGGCTCTCCACTCCAGTGATTATTCAATAGTTAATAGGATTCCGTACACTTAATTAGCGCTAAAGTATTCCAATTGAAATTTCTTCTAAAGGAATTTCCGCTAGAAAAATAATTTTAATTTGCTTTAATTAATGAGGTACAAAAAATCTTGCGAGTACAAGAATAATTTATAATTTCAACAATTTTTATCCTTAATTTAAATACGCCAATGAGCACTCGGACTCATATTTTGCCTCCAGTTTCAGTCGTTTCCTCATTGATGGATACTTGTTGCTCATTTAAAATCAAGTTTGACAAAACTATTCAGACTGAAAAATTCCAATATCTTTTTCTATATTTAATGACAATAAATTCACGTTACCAAGATATGACTTCAATATCTAAATAATTTGTCATGGGAACTTTTTGCACGTTTAGCGAGCATGCAAGTTTTACCGACAGTTTGGTCACGTTTCAGCGCTTCGCTGCCCACTCAGCTCTTTAAAAGCGCTGTAAATCATCGCAGCACTCGAAGTTCTGGGCACTCATCACACTGATGTTTGAATGGAAAATTTATCATCGCATTCATAAAGTAATTTTTAACTGAATGCATTCGTTACGTCACGAACTATGTCCTAATGATTGATTGATTTAATAAAAAATTTGATAGATTCAAAAAATTTTCACAGATAACAAATATCGAAGCAGAATCATGTCGGATTTGAAGATTAATTTCCGGAAATATTTTCTACAGAGATGGTAAATTTCCTCACAGATAATAAATATAGACCAAGAATCATGTCGCCTTCAATGAATAATTAACGAGAGTGTTTCTACAGAGATGGGGAATATTGCAGTGGATTAGTAAGATCGCCTGGCATATCCGTCTTCATTCAGAGTGACATTATTGCCCCAATGATCGAGGGTCTCCGGCTGGAAGTACCAGAGACTTGATTGGCTCGCGCTGAAATTATTCCTCCAGGTCGTCATTTACATGCAAATTCTTACCCTATAAAGTTCCCATTAGTTTTCTGGCTAAATTATGAAGATTGCTGATTTGATTAGATCTCAAATCACGCAAATATTGTTCATGAAGACAATTATTAGAAATTTTCAATAAAATTTTGCATCTCTACAAAATTAGAAATCATTGATTAAACTTTCCGTGTTTCTTGCTGATATGAAAGGGTGAATAGTTTGCGTGGTAATTAAATTTAAGCGACAGCCACTTTCAGAGCTGTTAGACTGTTAGGTACCAATTAAACCCAGTTTAGGCAAGGGGCTATATGGACTAGTTTCCAGTGCTCCTATAAGAATAACTAAAAAAAATAAACGACAGCCGATGGTGACGCCTTCCTGTGTTCTACTGCGTTTTTTTTTTTTTGCATTACACCAAATTATCTTCTTCCACATGCTATTTACTTCATTAAGATTATCCCGCTCAATTTCACCAAATTATATTACTAATTGCATGGAAATACTAATATATTATAATTTTTAATTTGGGCTAATCATGCTTTATTAACCTCATTACCGTCCTACTCGTCATTTGGCCAATTTGGCTATACTTGCCTCAGGTGAACCAATCACTTTAGGTATTTTTTCGGAGTTAATCGGCTCATTCAAATTGTAGATTTTATTTATCTTCAAATCCAGTATAATCTCTGCATATTAGTAGACAATTATTAAAGTTTACCGCTGTTTGCAACAAAACACCTGAGTGACGCGGCAGTTTCTTACGAACGCGCCCCATGCAAGCGTTACAGCTGTCCCTGATCATTCGTTAAACTGATGGAATGACCAAACCTGCCCGCCGAAACCTTATCCACCATTTTGATGCAAAAGAGCAAGAGCAAAGCTACTATAGTCGGAACGATCCATTTAATTATGCAGAGAATCGCACTTCGCTCAACACATTCAATAAATATAACCATCAATTGCTTTTGTCTTATACTTATTTATACTTATTTACTTTGTATATATACTTATTTTGTTTGTCATTACCTAAACAATCATTCCGGAATATTTTTCAAGTAAGCTTATGAATTCTTGCTCAATCGTCAGTTCATGAATTGTTCTAAATTTCAAAATGATTAAGGAGCTCTTCATTTATCAGTTCCAATGATGTCAGTAAGTTTATGTCCGTTCCGATGACGACATTAGCGTTTACGACAGTGTCAAAATGCTAATACGTCAGAAATTTTGACATGCATGAAAAAGTTTGTATTCGAGAAGGATGAAAAAATTATTTAAGAAGTAGAGGTTATCAGCGTGTGTTCCGTCGTTGCAAAGGGTTTTCTGTGTTACTGGAGTAAATAGAGAAACAGAATGTATGAAAAATGAATTCTACAAATACATTAATTCGGAATTTTTTGCGGATTCTTTAAATGAAAATTTTCAGCGCGATTTATGAGCGTTAATGTTCTTATTAATAATGGATTTTGTTATGGACTCTTTCTCATTAGTTTCAGTCAACTCTCTACAAGTTCAGAGAATCAGCATCGCTCCTACAAATGGAAGTAAACACTGACATGGCCCGATGCGTTTCAATAGATCGCTTGGGTAAACATAGGGACATAGTAATTTTTAATTCGGGGATACCTGCGTATGATAGCAATACCATTTAAACTGTACAGGTATTTCCGGACTGTGATTACCCTTGCCAGATGAACAATAATATGGAGGTCCGCAGCAATTTTCTTTCTTTCCTTTCTGCTACCATTGAATTTATGCGCCCATTACGTGGTTGTGAAGTTTATGGTCTATCTCGACAACGTTTTGAATTGATTAAAATTTATGATCGCGATGCGGGAGGCTGTTAGTGAATTTTCAATTTTCGCCCCTGTTAAGTCTTTGTTCCTGTCGGTGGAATAATTTCCGGAAGAATCTTCTATTTTCTGCGTGAAATATTCGAATATTCAGCGTTTCAAAGCGTTTGTTCGTGTAGGATTAGCTTCTTAACAAAGCAATTAGAGACCAGTCTTCTAATGAAGGCATTGCAAAGTTGTGAATAAACTATCCCTCGTTGTTTCAACGATACTTCACAGAAATTGTATAGTGCCTCTTAATTAAAACGCTTATTTGTCACAATAAGAAAAAAATTGACATGAATGGAATGTTCCTGAAAATCTTATTTATTAGGAGCTAAACATTATTTTTTTCGAATATCATGCTCATTAAATGCTAGAAATTTCTTGAGAACCAAGTGTTTTCGCAACTTATAAAATATTTTCAACGTTCATGCACTTGAATAGGACAAAGATATTAATACATATAATATTAAATTATATAAATAAGAATATAAATATTACTCACGAAATAGGTAGCATAGGAAGAGCTGAGAGGAGAAGAATCCAAGCGAGTCTTGCCATCGCCAAAAATTCCAGGACAATAATTTCTAAAATATCCACATGGATTCGTTCGCACGATTATTCACTTAGTTTCAGTTCAGAGTTCGTGATTCACTCACTTTTAAAAGTTCATGTTGCAATATTAAGCAAAAAAATGTTCTACTTATTCAATGTCGAATTTTTCTGTATCTGCCGTCATCTGTTAATTTATTGATGCTTTTGTTTCCAATTTTTCGCGCTGAAACGATAGAAAAGCTTTGCAATTTTTTTTAATGTTTTATCCGCGAATTCACAATTAGAAGTATACAATGCTGCTCTCCTGTCGAGTGAGTATTCAATAGTTGAGAGGATTCCGTACACTTAATTAGCGCTAAAGTATTCCAATTGAAATTTCCTCTAGAGGAATTTCCGCTAGAAGATTAATTTTAATTTCCTCTAATTAATGAGGTACAAAAAATCATGCAAGCACGTGAATATCTTATAATTTCAACAACTTTATCCTTAATTTAAATACGCCAATGAGCACTTGGACTCATTTTTTAACTTCAGTCTCAGTCGTTTCCTCATTGATGGCGAATTATTGCTCATTTAAAATCAAGTTTGGCAAAACTATTCAGACTGAAAAATTCCAATATCTTTTTCTACGTATATCTAATGACAATAAATTCACGTTTCCAAAATATAACATCAATATCTATATAGTTTGTCATCGGAACTTTTTGCACGTTTCGCGATTTTTCTACGTATATCTAATGACAATAAATTCATGTTACCAAGATATGACATCAATATCTAAATAATTTGTCATCGGAACTTTTTGCACGTTTAGCGAGCATGCAAGTTTTACGACAGTTTGGTCACGTTTCAGCGCTTCGCTGCCCACTCTCAGCTTTTTAAAAGCGCTGTAAATCATCGCAGCACTCGAAGTTCTGGGCCCTCAACACACTGATGTTTGAATGGAAAATTTATCCTCGCATTCATAAAGTAATTTTTAACTGAATGCATTCGTTACGTCACGAACTATGTCCTAATGATTGATTGATTTAATAAAAAATTTGATAGATTCAATACCCTAAAAATGTTTCACTCATGTACATTAGGCACTTGGAATGATTTCAGAAATTGAGTTAAAAATGTTCCAAAAAAGGTGCTATACCTTGCAAACTCCAAACGGCTTACGAATGCATCAAATTGCCGATTGCTTACGAATGATAATTTGTCGATGTTTTATATTATATATTCGATTTTAATTTACGTGTTTGAATTTAGTTCGATACTACTCTTTGCTTAACTTGGAGGGAATATTTGGTAGGTATTCATGTTAGGAATTATGTTAAGATAATATAGAGTCATTTCAGGCCCTTACT